ACATCAGAAATGGATATTATATAATAGATGCTTTTTTGAACATTTTAGCAATTTAAAAATATTAAAAAATTATTTTTTACACGGCACCCCTGCTCTCGACAGGCGGCACCCTGGTTGGGAAACACTGGACTATAATGCACTGATGTGATCTGGAAGTAATGCACACCTCTTCTGCCCTGTAGACACAGCCTACGTGAGGGTTTTTGTCACAGATGTAAATGACAATGCTCCAGCCTTCTCTCAGCCTGTATATGAGATCAGTGTGGAGGAAGACAAAGAAGTGGGCTTTGTGGTCATTACCGTTACAGCTAACGATGAAGATGAAGGTAATTTCTTTTCATTGTGTGTAGGTGTATCAAATATTATTCAGGTAGTCCTGTCACTTGTCTTTAGTTTGTGGTTTTTGTTGTTTTAGTTTTGTTTGTTTGTGCAATGATTCCTATCTGACAGCCCAATGATATATTTGACAGAGATTGAGGAGGAGGGGTTGCAAAAAGAAATTGAGCGAAATAAATCTAGGTGGAAAATTCGCTCCTTTTTGTGCTGAGATTGTTAGCAAATCTCTGTGGTGAATGTGGGTGTAACAATTTCAGCACCCCATTTGATGTTTGTCTCTTTGATTGTTTTTCTTTGTTGTCTTCAAGAAAAATAATTAAATAAGTAGCAGGCTTTCTTTAATGATGGAAGTAAACCCTTGTGTGAAAGATTTTGCGTAGAAATTTACATGAGATGCGTGACATCTGAGAGCCCAGGCAAATAACCATTGAGATTTTTAAATGGAACGGAATAGGCAGCTCTACACTTTTGAAAAATACACTGAAATGATAAAAGTAGTGTGTAATGGTAGATTTTTGACAAAGCTCTTGAGAGGCTTTACCAGGTGGTGTAACCAGAGATTAAATGAGAAAGAAAATAACAAGTGTATTAAACAAGCTGCACAGATTCATTCATCTTTTATCAGTCAAACAAGAAAAAAAAAGTTTTTAAAGAAGTAGTTCACTCAAAAATCTGAATTCTGCCATTATTTAGTAGTGCCGACAAAAACAATCCGCATCTACCCCAACCAAAAACCGTCTTGACTTTTTTATTTACTCACCCTTGTGTCATCTGTATGACTTTAGTTTTATTCTGATTGCTCTTTTCCATATGGCACCACATTAAAAAGTGGTCTGCTTTATTCCATGACCTAAAGTTGTTCAGTGTGTTTGTGTGAGAAATGGTCCAAAATCTAAAGAATTTGTTATCCCCTGTAGTTCCTAATATCAATTGAGATTGATGCACTGTTTGATATAAATTGTACAGGTTTATTTTACTAATATTGAGATACTATCTCAATGTAATTTTATTATGTTTTACATTTATTTTCTATTTGAGCTGTAGTTACATTTTAAGTAATCTTACTGTATGTTTTTGTCATTTTTATTTGTTTTGTTTTAAACAAAATAATTTTAAGTTTTTTTTATATATTATGGGAAACATTTTACAATAAGGTTCCACTTGTTAACATTACTTAACTACATTAGTTAACATAAACTAACAATGAAAATACTTCTAAAGCATTTCTTAATCTTTGTTAACGTTGATTCCAACATTTACTAAAACATTATTAAATTCAGGTGTTGTATCTATTAATGTTATTTAATGGACCTGAGCTAACATGGACAAACAATGACCAGTTGTATTTTTAACTAATAAATAACTAATGTTAACAAAGATTAATAAATACTGCAACAATGTGTTGCTCATTGTTAGTTCATAATATTTGATGCATTAGATATAGTTAACATATGGAACCTTATTGTAAAGTGTTACCGATATGTCTGTATTTCACATTATCTCAGTTAACTTTTATTTCAGGTAACATTTTTTAATGGTTAAGTATATGCTGATAGAATTTACTTTTTTGGACGAACTATATCTTTAAGATAACACAGAGAGGCAGAAAGAGGGACAACATGCAGTTTTGTTTTCCAAAGTGCTCCGTATTGTAACCGTATTGTTACCAAAGTATGCTGAACCCCTCAAGGGCAAGCTGAAACTGCAGGGAGTTCATGTTTGTTTCAATAGCACACAGACTTTTTTACAATGATGTAACTATCACCATTACACCATTTTACAGAAGACAGTCTGTATTTTTTTTCTCCCTGTAATGTAAGATGCCAAAATTAGCAAGTGTACGAGCATTGCTGACAGCGTACTTTACCTTAATGCTATGCATTTTTTGACCTCTGAAATGAAACTTAGCTGTTTAGTAAATGTATTATTAGTCTTTAGAGAGCTTTGTATCTCAGCACTGCCTGAAAACTTCGCCTTAGCAGCTGAAACCATGTGAATACATGAGCAGCTATGAATTAGTCTAGTGCACTCTCAGCGGTCAGTTAAATTTGCATATTCTGGAGCGACTTCTACTGTTGATTTTGTTAGCCCTGCTGGAACATTAGGTCCGTCGCTCTTTCCTCCGACAGCCATAGAGTCGCTCCTGGTAATCTGAGCGTGACAGGCTTGGACAAATCACCTATCCGTCCAACGTAGCGTGGCAGCCTGCCAGTCTGCCCGTCTGCCCACCCCCTCATTTCTCATCCTCTGCCTGTAGAATATTCCAGGCTGTCACCTCCACACATCTCGGTGACACGATTCCTCCACCTGATCTCACTCTGATTTCCATCAGGGCATGGTGACTTCGGCTCATCTGTCAACATAAACAAACAGGCGGGAGCACGATGTCTCTCACGGCGTCACGGCTTCACCTGTTACATATGCATGACAAATTATGTGTGGCGTGGAGCCGTGTCAACAAGCAGACTGAAGGAGACGGGGGCAGCGGGATGGAGATGTGCAGGTGTCTGATAGCTCATTAATGATGAGACGCTGGTGCCGCCGTGGAGGTGAGAAGGGTGACGTGACCTGCCATGGCTGGATGGACAGTCCAGAGCCGAGCGACAGCTAATATTTCACAACTGTCATGAAGGGGAATGCAAATCGAAGCTTGATGTCCCTCTGTCCCCTTCCTGCTTTGAAAAGCACAATGAATGAGATCGCCATTAAAATGCAATATTTCTTATTACACTGGGGATGAAAATGGGGACTACGAATAATTAGGAGCTGATTTGCAGGAGAGAAGGAATTTTATGGTCCTGTTAAGTATTTCCTAAAGCTGATTAGCAGTGCCCTCTCTGAGCTGTTCATTAAACTCCAGACTGATTTCAAAGATGGGATATGTAAAACACTGCAAACTTTCTTCAACAGCCGAATGAGCACAAGGTTTCCTAGACTTTCAGCTGTCTTTCATCACCTATGACCATTCTATAGATCACAGTAGTTAGGTTTAACCTAGTTGGCCTGTGGTGGTGTTGTGGGGAGGGCCGCCATATGGACTGGCTAGTCATTAAGGAAGCTTGCTTTTGGCAAAATCACTGGAGCTCCCCTCAGCAAGTGTCACAGCACATCACAATTTACAACTGTGATGGCCGTAGCCAGGATGAGCACGACACGTTCTAATGAAATCCTCACACATCATGCCCAGATAGTGTTTGTCTCATAGAATCTGAGACAACCTGAAACAGAGCAGGCGCGAAACTAGAGCCTTTCCCCCTGCAGTGTACCATGGTTGGATAAAGCCGTTTGGGGTCAAGCTGGGGGGCAGCAGAAGTGGAAAAGATAGATTATGGTCATTGTTTGAAATAAGATTTTCAACCACAGATGTACATCTCTAAAGATGAAGGGTTTCATTTTTATGCCAATAGGGCCACCAAAGAGAATTGCGGGAAAAAAGGAACATTTTATAATATTATTATTAGAAAATATGTATTTATTATTATTTATTTATTTAGAACTGGATTTCATATATCAGCAGAGATAACTTATTAAACCTTTTTGATGTATAATTTTTATAATCAAACTGTCATTTCAAAGAATCAAATTGGATTTAATGACGCATTGATTTAGAAAAAGTGTTTAAAAAAGTGTAACAAAATATGTACAAAACATTCTGTGTGACTTTATGTGTATATGTGTTAATTTCAGTATTTAAGCACAATCATATCATGACTGTGCATTAGAGCTTTCTTGTCCTTTATGTAATCCTCATCAAATGAGCACAGATTAATGCTGGCATTCTCTTTTTATCCAGCTCAGCCAAGCTTAAAACTTCCTAGAATGCTAACGCTTCCCAAACCCCCCAAACAGGTGCCAATGCCCAACTTCGGTACCAGATTACCTCTGGGAACACCATGGGCACATTCGATGTGGAGCCAGAGGTTGGCACGATCTTCATTGCCCAGCGGCTAGACTATGAGCAGGTGCAGCGCTATGAGTTACGGCTGGTTGCGTCGGATGGAAAATGGGAAAACCAGACAATGGTTGTCATTAATGTCATCAACCAAAATGATGAGGCACCCCTTTTCACTCAGACTGAGTACCACGCCAGCGTCATGGAGGAACTTACAGAGCTTCCTGTCCTTGTACTTGAGGTGAGGGGTTAAAACACTCAAACAGACACATGTAGTTGCATGAAAAAGGCAAAAATGTTGTAGAGAAGAACATCAACCTTTTTACAGAGATATGAAATGATTTTGTGAATGTCTTGTACATATGCTATAAATTAGTTCCAGCTTCATTATGGGTTTCAGTGTTTCCCCTAGGTAGGCGTTTTTTTTTTTGGTTAAAACTGCTTTTTAATGGTTAAATTAAATTGTATTAATCAAAAAGCATGTCTAATTAATTTAAATCATGAAACTTAAACAATTTAACATCAATTTATTAAAAGTTTAACAAAAATTAAACGAAGCGTTTGAGAGAGGCGGGGCATAGAGGACCTAAAATGATGTACAGTATTTGAAAAATAAAGTGTTTTTTGAATATTAAAGCATGTCAATAGTACACAATAGTACACAATAGAACAATAGTAATATATTTCTGCCGCAATGCCTTCAAGTTAAACCGAACTTTTATTTTGATGGGTTGCCATGAAGACCTTTGAGTTTCAAGTCAGTATTGCGATTTGATTCATTGTACAGCCCACTTATGATTTACTGTGAAAAATTCTGTAGATTCCAGTCTTATGATTTGATTTGAAGGGATATGTAATGTTTATTAATGTCCTCGTGTAGTTTAAAGCTTAGAAAGCCTAAAAAGAAAGCCTATTTGAAATTAATATTTTGACACCCTGCCACGGTTGTCATTTTGTGCTACCGTGTCTCAATATTGCTGTCTATTGTGCTGTCAGTGTAAAAAATAGACTTCAAAGGATTTGCATAAACATACCGGAAAAGAGGTGGAGAGAACTATCGGCATTCCTTTGCTGTGACTATTAACTTTTAATTGCCCCATATGTTCTGTGACAACTGTGTTGAATTCTAATATGCATGCCTGTATTTTTCCCATCTGTTCTTCACACAGGTCTCAGCCACGGATCCAGATCAGGAGGCGGACCAGCGTGCGGTGCGGTATTCTCTACACGGGCAGGGAGCTGGTAACGAATTCACCATAGATGAGATGAATGGTAGGATCTTCGCCCAACGTCGTTTAGATCGCGAGGTCCGCTCAGCCTGGCAATTCCTGGTACTTGCCACTGATGAGAATGGGGCAGGTCTTACCGGGTTTGCTGATGTTCTAGTCGAAGTGCAGGATATCAATGACAACGCACCTGTCTTCCTGTGTGCAACAGACAACTCCTTTTTGGGTCATGTGCCTGAGAATTCCCCAGCGGACACTTCCATAATGGAGATGCGGGCCACCGACCTAGATGATCCAAAAGCTGGGAAGAATGCTATCCTTACCTACAGAATTGTGCAGAATGTGCACAATGAGATCAATCTTAACCTCTTCTCCATCAACCCAGCCACAGGCACTATCTATACTGTTTTGCGCTCTTTGGACAGGGAAGTGGTGGATCGATACCTGGTTGTGGTAGAAGCTCGTGATGGAGGAGGACTTTCGGGGACAGGAACAGCCACCATCGTAATTTCCGACGTCAATGACCATCCTCCGGTGTTCACCCAGAGAGTCTACATGGCCTCTATGCCAGAAAACTTGGACATCAACAGCGAGGTAGTGGTAGTGGCTGCCACCGATGGTGATGAAGGTGAAAATTCAGTCATGACGTTCAGCATCATTGGTGGAGATGAAGACCGCAAATTTTTCATTGAGACTGACAAGGTGAACCGCCGTGGCATAGTGAGACTGAAGAAGAAGATTGACTTTGAGAAGCCACATGAGCGCACATTCAACCTGACGGTCAAAGTGGAGGATGCTGACTTCTTTAGCCTGACCTACTGCATCATTCAGGTGGAAGACTCCAATGACCACACTCCAGTCTTCTTCCCACAGTTCTACGAAGCGGGATCCATGTTCGAGGACGTTCCAGTAGGCACCGTCGTCGCACAGGTGACAGCAGTGGATCTGGACTCTGGACAAAATGGGAGGTTCACATACAGCATCGCCCCAGAATCCGACCCCTTTCAGCAGTTCCTGGTAGATAAGAGTGGTTGGGTTGTGGTAGCTGACTCTCTGGACAGGGAGAAGGTGTTTCAACATAGGCTTATGATCCTGGCCACAGACATGGGCAGCCCTGCTCTGACTGGCTCTGCCATCGTGCTAGTGACTGTACAAGATGTCAATGACAATGGACCAGAGTTTGAGGCTCCATATCAGCCCATTGTGTGGGAGAACACTATTGCGCCACAGGTCATTCACATGAACGATACATCCATTCTGTTGCATGTTATTGACAGAGACACGTCATCCAACGGAGAGCCTTTTTCCATCCGTCTGCTGATGCTGACCTCTGTTGTTACTAATTTCAACTTGACTGATCTGCGGAACGGCAGTGCCATGATAACCGCTCTCCGCAGCTTTGACCGGGAACAGCAGAAGCAGTATCTTCTCCCCATCCTGATGATTGACAGCGGCTCACCACCAGTGAGCTCCACCAGTACACTCACCGTCATAATTGGAGATAAAAACGACCATCCCCATGCACCTGGACACAGCGAGTTCATAGTGTACAACTTACAGGGTATGTTCCAAAGAAATGTCATAATCTTGCTACCATAGTACTGAAATTCACTGGCTGTTGTTATTTACATCCCTGTGGCACTGTGGCAGTACCATAGTATAATGGTGGTGATACTATAGTATTTTGAAATATACCATGGTACTGAAATTCATATACCATGGTATTTTAATGGTACTCTAGGGTACTTCCAAGAATACCATGATACTACTATTCTGCATGTCCAGAATACCATGGTGGTAGAATAGTACTTTTTGTAAGTGTTAACATATTCATTTTGCATGATATTTACTTGGTACTCCAAGGTACTTCAAAATATACTGTGGTACTGCCATGGTAAATGTGTAAAAAAAAAACTGGTATTGCCATGCTACATGTCCAAAATACCATGGTAGTACCATGCTTCACTTCCAAAATAACATGCCATTATTTATTTTATAGTACTTAAAAATATTTCATAATGTGTAAGAAAATCATAGCCAAAACACTTGTTTTTTAGTCGTCTTAATATATCACATTTTAGGAAAGAAATATAGTATTACTTGATATGTTTTTAACATTTTTCTCTTTTCTCTGATAGAAATGCATTAGCCTTCTAATAAGAATTCGTCATGTAGCTCAAACATGGCATGATGCTAACAATTTACTTAAATCCCAGGTTTAAGAGGCACATAAACAGGAACCATTTTAAAGGGTGTTGATTTCATGACTAACCGGATTACAGCATTTCATTTTGCCTTTTGGAGAAATGGCAATGTTGCATGCTAATAGCATTGCCCCCCCCCCCCCCCCTGTGCTGTTTAAGTGGGTCCATATGTGCCAATGAGATGCTCTGCTTTTTGCTTATCTTTTTAAAGATATGTCTCCTCCACCCACGCGCATCGCCACAGGTTTCGCACAGGCTGGATGAAGGTAGCTTTTCTCTAACCTCATTATGTATTTTCCCCAGGTACACTCCCCATGATGGTGCTTGGACAGGTTCAATCCCCTGACCTTGATGATTGGAGCGAGAAGGTTTACAAGTTCGAAGGCAAACCCCCCAGGTGCTTTGATCTTCTATTGAAGTTTGATTCAAAATTCTGACATCTTGCCTGTCACTTGCCTTTTTCATTTCAAAATTCACTCTGAAGTGATACACGAATTCTCTCCTAGTAACTGATAAGAAAGATTACGTTGGCTAGAGGTTCTCTCTAATGAGCTGCATGTAAGTGTGATGGACTTTGTCCAAACCAGACTCTGTGGCTCATGCCAACAATGGCACCTTTAAGTAAAGCGATTATACTAACACTCCAGCAAGCAATGCCAACTCAATCAGTTTAGTCTTGAGTTTAATCACAGTCTATTTCAAGTTCCATCCAAAGCTGTGCCCGACGGTGTGTTGTGGAGGATCTCTTCTCATTAATTTGGATAATTAACACATTAATACATTAGCAGTTTGATGTTAGCTAGTGTGACACATCTCTTGGCACCAAGAGCGTAGCTTCGATCCAAGCAGTTTTTCATTTGCTTACTTGACAGTGAAGTACCTAATTTGGCACCCGAGCTGAAGGTTACCATCGAGGTGGAACTCTATTCCTGTTATATGAACATGATTGAATTTAATTTGAGCAGTGACTACTGAGTTTAGCGACCTTGCTGCACAATGTTTGAAGTTACAGGGCCAAACATAGCTTCATAGCAAACGCCATATACCAGGGTTGTTTTAATAGACATGAAATGTCTATTTTCATTTTGTGTTCTTGTCCTCTTAGCTCACACTACAAGATAGATATGGCGTTATTTTACTGACAAATGTCGAGAGCGCATTGCTGTAGCATGAAAGTACATTAATATAAAGTTTCCTGTCAAATTATTTATTTTTTATTTATTTATTTATTTAGTCATTTAGCAGACGCTTTTATCCAAAGCAAAATGTAAATGATGCACAAGATATAACATAAATGCTGTAATAGAATCGCTGTTTGGACATTTATTGGGAGTTTTTTTTTCTTTTGTTCATTCAGTGTTTGTTTCCAGTTCTGATTTTAGTTGGATTTTTTTTTTCTCATGAAAACCCACTTCATATTAGCTACGCATTCAACCTGGAATTCTTTTGACAATCAAAGATGGATCTGCAATTTCGTTACAGTTTAATAATATTTAGCAATATTAATAAAATGTATATTAGAAATGGCAAGGAATGGGGTGTTTGGATGATTTGTACATATAAATAACCTAGTCTGTCTAACTGGTTGGTCAAACCCCTCTGAGCGATTTATCTAAACAAACAAACAAAAAATTATATGATTCTTAAAGTTCATGTGATCATACATGTCTTGTGTACTTGGGTTGAAATATATATTAAAATATCTTCTGATTTAAGACAGGACTATTTAGATCAGAGTCAAATGCACTATTCCCTAAATACTTAAAATGTGGAGAATTTCTCATATTTGTCATAACATCATTATATTCTATGGGTTTAATGAATTTGCAGACAATGTAGTTATCTGTAACTGTCATATAACTGTATTTTAGAGGAGAGTGCCATTGAATGTGTAGCTAATATGAGGAGGGTTTTCATTAAAAAATCTAACTAAAATCCCTGGATGAAAAAAAACCTCCCAATAAATGTCCAAACAGCGATTCTATCACAGCATTTATTGGGTTATATCTCACTCACACTAGTCTGTAATCACAGATGCTACATTATGTTTTGAAATCTGGTTCCAAGAGAGACATGAGGAACAGTCAATTAAATTGCAAGTCTGCAATCATCGTATTTTTCAATTATTTTTCAGCATGTGCAAAACAATCCAAAAAAATGACCACAAACCCTTCCTCCAAGTTATCAAGAATCAACCCTTGCATTACTATGTGTGTTCGTTTATGTGAGAAAATGCAAATTCAGGATAGTAGATACGTTCAGGGAGGCATTTGTGCTTCTCAGTATTTTTGTGTAAAGGATTTTTTGATGAATAGAAAGTTCAAAAGTACAGCATTTATTTGAAATAGATTTTTTATGTGTAACAAAAAAAGTGTTACTGTGACAGCTGATCAATAGTGTACATCCTTGCTGATTGAAAGTATTAATTTCTTTTTTAAAAATCATACTGACATATATCTAACACAGTTGAGTTGTGGTTTATGCTTAAAAGCAAAAAAAAATGTGCACAGGAGGACACGCTTCAAAATGCAGAAAAGGGATAATACAACTGTGACCTAGACAGAGAAAGTGCATATCCATACAAAAGAGAGAGAGAGAGAGACTGAGAGATTGGTGTGGCCCAGCTGTTCCTGGAATCTCTTATCCAGAACAGCAGAACTGTCCCTGTCATGTTCATCACATCTGGAGACGGAGACAGGAGTTGACATAAGTGCTTTCACTGATATACACACTGCCATTAATAATACAGCTTGAGTTATCTTACAGCATCAGTGCTGCTCTCTCATGCGTGATGATCCAAGAATGAACCTGGGACTGAATCTCCAGTTACTGTACAGTTATTTTCACTCTGGTTTGTCTTTGTTTAAAGGGATAGTTCACCCAAAAATGGAAATTCTGATACCATTTTGTCACCCTCCAAACCCATATGACTTTCTTTCACAGAGGTGTTAGACAGTAAGTTGATGCTACTCCTTGTCTTACAAGGATAAAAAATGAAGGAGTAAAGATGCTGTCGAACTCCCAAATGACAAAAAAGCACCATAAATGTATTATAAAAGTCTTCCATCCATATGTACACTATATACCAAATACTATAAAACCATAAAAGATAGCTTTGTGTGAGGAACAGACCAAACATCCTCCTAAACATCTTAATTTACTGCATGAGTAAATGATGAATTTCTTTTTTAATTCTTATTATTATAAATATTTAATAAAGGTGGTAGATTGAGATGATCATAAATACACTAGTTGAATCTTGAGTCATGCATTAATTCTCATCCTTTTGCCCCACTGAACATGAACCCACACAGGCAATTCAGCCTGAACCAAAACACCGGTCAGCTGAGCATCCGAGAGGGAACACCAGCTGGATTCTACAGCCTGCAGGTGAGGGTGGCAGATAAGAGCTGGCCTGACGTCACCTCATCAGCCGAGGTCATGGTGATGGAGCTGGAGGAGGAGGAGCTGAGGAATGCTGGGTCAATCAGACTGGCCAGTGAGTGACTCTTCCTTTCAAAAATTTTTTTTATTAAATTAAATCTTAAAATAGAACAGCTTGTTTTTGTTTTAATTTATTAATCTATTAATTCTTAAACATATGCTTACATTATTGTTATATTTAACCTTCATGTTATGTGAGAGGATTTTCTTTTCCCCAAAAATTCTAGTGAATGTTACTGCATAGGACTCCAACTTTGTTACACTTGTGGTGTTCCCAGTCAAAAATGAACGACCTACAAAAAATTGCTTGTAAATCTCTTATCATGCAATGTTATTACCAAATGTGGGATTCAGTATTTCTATTAACTTGTTTTCTCTCAATTAGCCATTAGGTTTTGTGTTTCTTTTTGGAACTGATTGGTATTGATCTGAACTTATGCACCTCTGTTTTTGAGTGAACACTGCAAAAATTATTTTTCACTCAAAAACTGAGGTGCATAATCTCAGATCAATGAAGACTATGAACAGTCAGTTCCAAAAAAATTAATTAATTAAAAATACAAAACCTGTGCTAACTGAAAGAAAACAATTTGATGAAAAGTTTGAATGCAGCATTCTTAAATTGTTGAATATCTGGTATTAGAAACTATTTTAAAAATGCATAGCATTTGCATCCTTGTATCCCATTAGAAAAAAGTGGCTGATTTTTATGCTCAATCATTTACTTTGACCTTAAAAGTTTGTGCATCACATTTCAATGGAGATTTTGTAAATCTGTCACATGTAATGCAGGCTGAGATTGATGAATGAGCATAATGCAGTCCGCAGCCTGAGAGTAAGTGCTCTTACTCATTTCACATGCGAAGAGGCCATTTGCATATAAGTCTTAGCATAGAAGGGGCAGTGTGAAAAAAGTCCAAACAAAATAGGGTCATAGAGATGGTGGAAAACATATGGCTAAAAAAACCAAATGTTAAGAAACAGTACAATGTGACCGCATTAATAAATATGCTTGGATTTTACACTGATGGCAAGTTCTTTGTATGTGTGTGTTTGTTACGCACAGACCTGACTGCAAATGAGTTTTTCCAAGCATCAATGAATGAGGAGAGCCGATACATGCGTCTCCGCCGCCTCTTGTCCGAGCTCTTCCAGATTGATATGGAGAACGTTGACATCTTTAGCCTGGCCAGTGGCAGCCAGCCAATGCAGCATCACCTCAGCGTGTGGTTTGCCGCCCATGGCTCGCCATACTACAAGCCCGAGAAACTCCATGGCTACGTGGCAATGCACAAAGCTAAGGTGACAAAGACATGCGCACAAATACTCACACTTTCACACCAATCCACGTCTTCTGTGTTTCTCACATAGGCACAGACATGGAGTCTATGAAGCGGTTCACATTTACATGCGTCTCACACCTGCACTCAGAGACACACTTTGCAACAGTTCAATAAATATTTCATTTCCATGTAAGGTATGAGACGGTGGGCTGTCGCTTTGGGCTGGGGAAGCGAGCATGATTTCTGAAAGGGAGGGAGGGAGGAATGGATAGAAAGAACATGTTGCTCCCTGTGCAGCATCCACCAGTCTATAAATCAGGTGTAGAGTGGGCTCTCTTCACAGCCCAGCGTGGTGCTAATGCTCTCACCGAGATGATGTTGATGCACTACACAGGAAGCTGCCCTGACATTTTTAGAGCCACTGCTGAGGGATGTGATGGACTGCCCTTGAGTCCAGAACAAACAAACACACTCATACTAACAACACATGTACAGAAATGATTATGGTGAATCACTTGTGTTGCATTGTTCCTCTTGTAAATTGTTTTGGATAATGATGTATTTTGATAAAAAATATTTTCTTATGCTTCTTATGCTTATGCTAAAGAAAGAAAATGAAAATGTAGTCATCAGAAAGAAAATGAAAATATAGTCATCCAAACTTATGCTCTTGTCGTTCCAAACCTGTATGACTTTTTCTTTACAATGTTTCCAAACTGCTCTTTTCCATACAATATTTTATTTTATTTTTAATTCAAATTGTTATTTTTAATTTAATTTAATTTAAATTTTTATTTTTAATTTAATTTAATTTAATTTGTATTATTGATTATATTTACATTTTTTATTTTACATTTTTATTTTTCATTTTATTTTTCATTTTTTATTTTTATTTTTTCAGTAGAATGACCAAGGATGTATTTTCCATATAAATAAAGTCAATATTGACTGGTAAATTAAAGGGTTCAACCAAAAATGAAAATTAGCCCATAAATTACTCACCCTCAAGAGGCTGAAGGCTGAACTCATACATCATCAGCTGCTTCCGTGTACAACTGTTTGCGCAAGCTAGATTAAAGTGATTATTACGTTTTGAATATGGATATTTTTCTTACAAAGACAATTTTTAATATAACTCAGACTGGATTCGTCTGAAAGAAGAAAGTCATATACACCTAGGATGACTTGAGGATGAGTAATTTATGGGCTAATTTCATTTTTGGGTGAACTAACCCTTTAAAGGAAATAACAGGTTGAATGTGGGGAAAAAAGAAAGAAAGAAAAAATGTAAAATTATAACATTTGCTTGAATGTATTTTGTATTTTAGCTTTTCATTTTATTTCATTTAATTTGCTATCTAGTTGTAGTAATGTTGGGTAGCCAACTGTTCCAATATGTTGTGCAGTTTTGCTTATGTGTAGAAAAAATAAATTAAAAAATGTATCAATCAACAAATATAATAAAAAGGAATCAGTTGTGGGAGTAACATTAATTCAACAAGTAATTTAGTAGGATTTGTACTTCTCTTTCAGTTGGAGTCCGCTCTGGGTGTGACCATTCTACAGGTGGGGGTGGACGAGTGCGCCTATGCAGCCTGCGGTCAGACAGGTGGCTGCTCTAGCAAGGTGACATTCAGTGACACCCCTAAAACACTGAACAACGGGAATGTCTCTTTGGTGTCCGTCTCAGCCAAAGCGAGCGCTCAGTGTGGCTGCCTTGCTCGAGAGTGCGTTCACCTGCACTGCTCTTCATACTCACAAAACCCTTGCCTGAATGGAGGCACCTGTGTGGATAGTGAACTAGGCTACAGGTAAAACAGTCTAGTGTTCTAGCACTCATGTCTTGTTAATAATTGCTTGTTTTAGTATATGATAGAATAAACGTTGTTTATTCATATAATGCAGTTTCACTTTTGGTGAAGCAAAATCTACTACTAATCTACTACTCTGTTTTAGGTGTAAATGTCCCCCTATGTTTGATGGACCAGAATGCCATCAAACCAAACACAGTTTCCTTGGCAATGGTTATGCTTGGTTCTCGCCCATAAAGCCTTGCTTCCAGAGCCACATCTCTCTGGAGTTCATCACAGAGGCAGGCAATGGCCTGCTGTTCTACAATGGCCCAATGGGAACACCTCAGCCTGGAGAAAAAGAGGACTTCATTGCACTGGGTATGTATGACAAATGATCATGTTTCACTGTTAATTTGTATAGTGCAGTGGAAAGTGACGTGTCAATTTAGAATGTACTGTTATTTTAGTATTATTTATGTACTATTTTTGTATTTATTAATATTCTGAATTAGCTTGTGTTCAGTTTTTATTTTATTTAGTTATACTTTTAGTTATGTGCTTTTGTCATTTTTGTTAGTTTTTCTATACAGAGTTAATTTATTTTTATTTTTATTATATACATTTTTAAATTACTTTTCGTTTTAGTCATTTTAGCACTTAAACTTATTTCATTTAGTTCCCATTGAGACATTTCTAATTTTAAGTTTAAGTTTTTCATCTAATATTTATATTTTATTTTATTTTATTTTATTCTAGCATTATTTCAATTTACTGAAAATGTATTAAATATTTGTTAACAACAATACCATACACACCACATTCCTAATGATGGAAAAAACTAGTTGAAAGTTTGGACTGAAACCACATATGTAAACATTTACTTTTCAGTAGAAAAAAAAGAACAAAACCATCTCCATAATGGAGAGAACATCCATCATAGTACCATCATAGTTTAAGATTATCTTGTTACACTGCATGACATTAATTTCCTCTACCAATTAATTGTGTTACTAAAATCGATTAATGGCAACAAGCACAATTTGAAGTGAGTCATTAATTATAGATGTGTGTAAATGTGTGTGGTCAGCAGTGGTGTGAATGGGGTCACCGGTGAAGGTCACCTATTCAGATTATATGCCACATGTCCAGTACTGTATTGTGCAACTGGTCGTGTGATTTCAGGAAATGACCCTCCCATGGCCTTGCATAAGCTTACATCATCAGTTTGGTACATTTTTATTGAACTGGGGCAAAAGCCCTGCACTGCAGTGACAGCAATTTCAAACTGACCACAAATTGATTACGAATAAGCATTTTTTTTTTTTACTGCTGGGGGTCAAAACCAATCTTAGGGGGCATAAAACAGCATTAGATTTTCATGTCACATGTGTTTGCGGTACCAGTGTCATATGCTTTCATGATGAGTTTGAGAACTTGTTAAAGGTGAAGTGTACTAGTGGCACCGAATAGCCTGGGGTCAAATCTGTGTGACTGTTTTGCCATATTATGGTCCTGTGGGCAAAAATCATAATTCTGATTGCTCAGAAAAATTATAAACTGCATGATTTGAGGTGTCATTCATGTTTGTAGCACAAACAACACAAGCACAAACAAGTCTTCAGGCCCAGAACTCCCTTTTTTGTGGTGTTGATTTGTGAAATGGTTCCAAATTGGGTCAGTAAGATTTTGTTTTAAATGATTAATGCTTTTATTCAACAAAGATGCCTTACATTTTCACGGTTTCCTCAAAAATATTAAGCAGCACAACTGTTTTCAATATTCATAATAATAAGAAATGTTTCTTGAGAACCAAATCATCAAATTATAATTATTTCTGAAGGATCATATGGCACTGAAGACTGGAATAATGGCTACTGAAAATTCAGCTATTACAGGAATAAATTACATTTTAAAAGATATTAATTGTAATAATATTTTTCTGTTTCTAATGTATCTTTATCAAATAAATGCAGCCTTAGTGAGCATAAGTTCAAGTTCATTTTATTTGTAGAGCACATATACAACAGCCACCAGGCTGACCAAAGTGCTTTTCAGAAGAGCAACAATTTTACCACATACACAGAGAACAAACCAGACAAAAATTTAAAACCGCACATTTAAAAATTACCATATCACAGTAGTCAATACACTAAGGAAAACAAATAAGTTTTTAGCAAGGACTTAAAAACAGACAAAGAAGGGACCATTCTAATCTCTAAGGGTAGGGTATTCCAGAGTCGTGGCCCTGCCACCGCAAATGCACGCTCCCCTCTACGCTTAAGTATAACGTGAGGGACCACCAACAAGGCTGGAAGGCCACAGGTCAGAGGAGCAGGGGAAGAGGAAAAATGACCCAACTTCACTAAAAACATTCTGTCAGACAGGTATGAATGAAACCATTTCAGAACGTTTGCTTTTAGACCTACCCAAGACTCTAATCTAGATAATAGTGAGGAGTGGTCTATGGTATCAAAAGCAGCCGATAGATCTAAAAGAATAAGAACCACCGAGTCTCCGGAATCAGTAGAGAGGTAAATATAATTTAACACTCTCAAAAGGGCGGACTCAGTGCTGTGAGCAGACTTAAAACCAGATTGAAAAACCTCATAAATACAATTACTAGTCAGAAAATGTTGAAGTTGATCCAGCACAATTTTCTCCAATACCTTAGAAATGAAAGGTAAGACAGAAATTGGCCTAAAAATTTTTTGGCCCAATCGAATCGATAATTAATTTTAAAAATCTCGGAGAGACTTCTTTCAAAAATGTTAGAACATTTTACCGACCCCAATCGTTTGAATGGCTGTTTGTCTTCTAATCCAATTCTGATTCTGTTTTTTTCATTAGAGCTGAAAAATGGAGTTCCTGTGCTGAGTGTGAATCACGGCTCGGGGACTCTAACACTGCAGCTGTCCGCGAGAGCCACTGTCACGGACCGCCGCTGGCATCACCTCGACATCATCAGCGACGGCAAGGTAGAAGCATAGATTGAAATGGAGGGCACGTGACCAGAATGAGACGCTGGGCTTTTGCCATTCCCAGAGGAATTTTTGTTTGACTTTATAATGTTCTCAACCTCACCTCAATTTTATTAGGACATGAAGCTGAGAGTCCAGATCATCACATAGCTCTGAGGTTCACACTGGGTTAAGCAGATTGTGAGCTTTATCGCCCTCTGGGATTTGGGTCTAAAATATGGTATATGGTGTAGTACTTTGCCTTGAAGTTAAATCAGTGTGTGTGTGTGTGTGTGTGTTTGTGTAGACTGTCCAGATGATTCTGGACCACTGCTCTGGTGCCATGGTGAACGAGGTGGAAGGCCTGGGAGTTGAGATGTTTGAGACTGATCAGTCAGTGTGCAAGGCCTCCGGAGAGACGCCAGGCAGTGAAAGGTAAAATTTGATCTTAAGATACTGATAGTTAGAGAAATACCCTGCTAAAAAGTATCTACTTAGACCATTTGCTTGCTGGTCCAGGATTCCAAATTTTATTAAATTCCATGTTTATTAAAGAACCCCATGAAATGAAAACTAGAGTTTTGTGGATTTTTGATGGCATCCGAGTGTCATGGCCTTATACCTTTAGCCCATATATATATGCTAGTGTCTTTTTTTTTACAGGACAACAGACCAAAATGCTGTTAACTTATTTTTCACTAAGGCATATTCAAATGTTTGTCCAATAAAAATTCTCTCTAGAATACCACCTGCCTTTGACTAGCAATAGCAAATAGTAAATCATGGTTCCTGGCTGTGATGTAAACTAAATGCCACAATTGCTCATTTCCCTTCAGGTTTTTGGATGTCTACCAACCTCTCCAGTTGGGTGGGGTTAAAGAGACACACTCACTCCGTAGGTCACACCCCCATTACAAAGGATTTGTGGGATGTGTGAGGAACCTGGTGGTGGATAGTCAGGTAAAACCAGTGTAAATGTGTTTAGATTTCTGAAGGGAGTCTTGGCCAAAGCAAAATATAACTTAACAAAACAAATAAAAAAAGACTATTCTTAAATACTCTCAACTGACAAAAATGCAAAATTGACTATTACAGACTCCTTTTCTTTCATTGTGCAAGGGACTGTGGGAAATATTAGCCAAAAACACATGCACAAACGCACACTCCCCAAATTTTTTTTGAAAAAAATAAATACAAATTTTGGCATGTTTGGCTTAATATTTAAAGCATGCAATTTATTTTCCTGGCTGAGATTAAGACAATGTTTTTTGGGTTCCAATCCACAATCTTTTGTTTGGACAGAACAGACGTTCACCTGAGCCACTTTCTGACAGCGTGTCGATACGGATCAATGAGGTTCAGAATTGTGCTGACTCAGGCCTTTCTGTGTGCATGTGTCTGTTTTCTGTCAGGTGTACGACCTCGGCAGCGCAGCAGAGAGCGAGAACAGTGCCCCAGGATGTGCCCTAACAGATGGTGTGTGTATGACCACTGGAGGACCCTCTTGTGGGGTCCATGGGAAATGTCTGGGGGAATGGGGCTCCTTCAGCTGTGATTGCCACCCTGGATATAGTGGACACAAGTGTGACAAAGCCCTTCCTGAGTGGTCGTTTGAGAAGGACAGTGTGCTGAGGTACCAGCTGAGAGGTGGAGGAAGTCCACGCAAAACCCAAGCGCACTTCCTGCTGAGAACCCGCTCCTCCATGGGCAGCCTGATCAGCATGGCCTCACGTGACACCAACGAGTTCATTATCCTGGAAGTGAGTGATACACATGAATGCAATTACACCTAGTGCAATTGCATTCATTTTAAGCATCCCTTATATGTCTAAATACATCTGAAAATGTTTTAAAGCTGTAACACTGTGTCATGTTCTTGTCTCTCAGATAGTAGATGGGTACCTCACTGTCCGTGCTAACCTTGGGGACGGCACTCACTCTCTGAAGTTAGCAGGTCATCACGTGAACCACGGCCAGTGGGTCTTCGTCAGCATTCATCGCCATGACAACATCTTTACCCTGCGACTGGAGCAGGGTGGGGGTTCACGGGAGGTCACAGGGGTCCTGGGTCAGAAAAAGGAAATAGTAGTTCACCCCTCCAGTGTGTTTCTGGGAAACAGCTCCACTCCAAACACACAGGGAGACTTTCAGGGTGGGTTTTCTCTTCCCTTTCCCCCCTCATTGCTGTAATCCAGTAGCTGTGTAATGAGTGAAATTATGCACAGTCAGGTGCAAAATAAACTAGATGATCAAAATTACAGTTCCATTTTAAAATTACAGTCATTGTAAAGTCCAAGTGCACCGCTATATTGGCTAGTGAAAAAAAAATTAGTAAACCTTTAAAAAAAAAACTTAAAATAGAAAGTAAAAAAGTAACTTTGTACAAATGACTTTAAAATAAAAGTCATAGTAACAAATACAAAATCTAAAAGTTGTATAGTGTTTTCACCGTTTTTTTTACCGTACAGGCTGTATGCTGGATGTAAGACTGAACGGTCACTCTCTGCCGCTGGATGGTCAGGGCACAGAGTTCAGTACTGTACTGAAGCGCCGTGGGGTCGTGCCCGGCTGCCACTCTGACACCTGCAGTGCCAAACCCTGCCTGAGTCCGCTGTACTGCGTTGACCTGTGGAGGAAACACGTGTGCAGGTGAACACTCTCTCCCACACGGTTTCCCACTGTCAAATGCCTCTTCCTTCATTTCAACGTCCGCTCTCTCACTCCAGGTGTCCAGCCAATCAGGTTGCAGTGGTGGATGAGGTCACAGGTCTTTTGCATTGCGCCCCGTCCCCCTGCGGCCCCACCACATGTCGTAATGGTGGCACCTGCCTGGCTCACTCCACCAAGAGCTACCAGTGCCGCTGTCCAGAGGGCTTCAGAGGCCAGTGGTGTGAGATCGGCCGGGTCAAATCTCTCCATCTCACAGCACTCAGTCCGAGCTCCATCCTAGCCATCAGCATGTGTCTGCTCGTATTTTTTGGTAACTATCAGGGTATCATGGAACACTTTTCATGAAAAGCCTTGTAAAGTCTTCATTATCAATGTGGAACCATGATGAGACCCTCTCATTTTGCATCAGTTAAGAATGCTGTCAATAGAGAGCCAACACACAGAGGTAAGAATGATGAGGCAGGCCAGTCATCTGTGTGTGCTTTTTAAAGCATTATTGCATGCAGGCAGGAAGAAATCACTCATCAACTGGAGCAAAAATGAGAAACGTGCTGCCAGATGATGGGATTGGTTGGGTTTATGGCCTTCAGAGAAATTTGGCAGAAAATTATGGGTTATTTTTGGATTTATCTGTCTTTAATTGAAAAGAGGAGTCTTACCATCCATGAACTGGCAAGATGACATGAGCTGGTGGAACATGTCAGACTTTTGCACTTAAAAAATGAAATTAAAACTGATCCTGTTTACTTTTTTCACTTTTTTGTGGATGATTTACATATTGTGCACGTTATTCCAAAGACGAAAATCTTTCAAAATCTTTGTAATCTTTCATCAAAATATGATTTTTTTTCTCCACCTCTGAATGGTGTCCAATGAATCTGGGATCCAAAATCTTATTTAAACCTGTAAATAATTTAATTTATAAATATTATTTGTAAATATAATAATTTGTTAATATAAATTGTTAATTTGAAATATTTTGTACTGAATTACACTACCATTCCAAAGTTTGGGGTCGGTATGAATTTTTTTAATGTTCTTAAAAAAAGTATCTTATGCATACCAAGGCTACATTTATTTGAACAAAAATACAGTAAAAACAGTAATATTGTAAAATATTACTATAAAAAAAAAACGTTTTCCATTCATATATTATATATCATATATTTCATGTAATTTATCACTGCGATGACAAAGCTGAATTTTTAGCAGCCATTACTCCAGTCTTCAGTGTCACATGATTCTTTAGAAACCATTGCAATATGCTAATTTGCTGCTCAAGAAACATTTCTTATCAATTTTGGAAACAGTTGTTCGAAATATAAATATTTTGTAACATTATAATTGTCTTTACTGTCCCTTCGATCAATTTAGTGCATCCTTGCTGAATAAAAGTATTAATTTCTTTAATACTTAAATTTTTTTTTAAAAACCTTACTGACCCCAAACTTTTGAACAGTTGTGTAAAAAAAAATGCAAAAGAGAAGCATTTTCATTAATTGTCTTAGACTTCTTTAGGACCTCTGTGCATGTCACATTATGGAAGTAAAATGTGTTGGAAAGGATTTGCTGTCATTTACCTTAAGCATCCACACTTCAACAAAAATATACTTTTAATAACTGGTGTCATCATTCTTGTATTAATCTCTCTCTCTCTGTCCTCTGCAGCCGTGCTTGTGGCGGTGACCGTATGGAATCAGAAGGGCAGTCGGAATAAGTTCCGCAAGCGAGGTGTTTACCACATCCCAGCAGAGCACGAGAGCTGGGAGGACATCCGGGAGAACATCCTCAACTACAACGAGGAGGGAGGAGGAGAGCAGGACCAGGTATTCCATTAACACAGGGCAGCCAGAGGAGATATTGATTTACTTTCAGGGGAATGACCTCCATCAGCATCTACACTGCAATGCCATCATCCTCTAGGTGGCAGCATTCAGCTCTTTAGAATTTCAATCTGCACAACATGATTGACACAGAATAGAATACTAGCATGCAGTTTACATACTGCCTACTGTTCCTCATACAGTTCAAAAGTGTGCTATATTGTTGTCACATGACCTCTTACAATGCATGGAAGTCATGAAGTGACATTCTATAGCACTTCCCCAGAATTAAAAGTGTCGCCTGTGTGTCCAACAGAACGCCTATGACATCACTGAGCTGAAGAGGCCGCTGTGTTCCAGCTTGTCCCAGTCCTCCTCCTGTACCACAGCCCCCCTCATCAAGTCGTCCCAGGGCTCTCAGGAGGAGGTCCATCCCTGCGGAAACATCACCAATGGAGCCACCCTTCCCTACCACCACAATGCCAGCTGCAGCGGTCACTGCTCCATGGACTTCAAGAGCTACGTGTCCCGCATCATCTGGGAGGCTGACAATGACAGCCTGGCATTCCCCATGGACACCTACCACGTGTACTGCATCGAGGGAATGGGCTCCAGTGCGGGCAGCCTCAGCTCGCTGGGATCGGCCATTTCAGAGGAGGCCTTCACCTACGACTCCCTGCGGCACTGGGGCTCCAAGTTCGAAGCCCTCAGCGAGCTTTATCGAGGACCGGAGCTGGCCGTCCCCTACATGGACACGGTGCAAAGCCAAAGCCAGGAACAACAACAATAACTGGACGACTTCAAGCCCAGCGTTTGTTTTTGTGTTAGTGTTTTATAGCTTTTATAGGGTTCCAGTTTGAACGCTACAAAAACGTGTCCTAAGAAATGGTTTCTGTTCATTTGTGATAGTCACACAGCTTTAAGGGTGAGGAGCAGCTGAGGTTAGAGAAATGTTTTGTTTTGTTTTATTTATTGAGTAAAATATTAAATGTACTGTATTTATTTTTGCTCTGATAGGGAACAAAGCCAGTGAATCATCAGGACTTCGCCATGATGAACATGGTATAAGGTCACATCCAGCGTGTCACAACTAAGGTGCGTTTCAGTAAACACACGTGACTAACACTGCGTTCCATTTGACTCCGAAATTTCCAGCTTGCTTAGTGGAAATGCGCATTAGAATGCCACTTTATGTAAGATTTCCATCTTAGAAGCTTGCGCGGAACTTTGATTTTGCCAAAATGTGAATTCACACTACTGTTCAAAAGTTTGGGATCGGTAAGATTTTTATTGTTTAAAAAATATATATATACAGTAAAACATTAATATTGTGAAGTATTATTACTTTTTAAAATAACCTTTTTTATATTTTAATATATTTTTTAAAATGCAATTCATTCCTTTGATGGCAAAACTGAATTTCTAGGATTTTTCGATGAAAAGAAAGTTAAAAAGAAGAGCGTTTGAACAATGTAATGTGTCTTTACTGTCACTTTTGATCAATTTAGTGCATTCTTGCTGAATAAAAGTACAAAAAAAAAAAAATTTAATAAATCTTACTGACCCCAAACTTTCACTTAAACAGGGTTCCAATCTTACTGGAAAACCAAAACAAGCAAACAAATAAATAAATAAAGGATAATATCTTAGGATAGAAAATACTTAATTCATTAAATTCTATAAAATCTCCAAAAAACCATCATCATTTAAAAAAATAATAATTTAATTCAATTATTAAAGTCATGATAAATTACTGGAAAACTAATGTCATGGAAATTGCACAGAAAAATATGTTAGAAAGTGTGGGAACCCTTCTTGAACATGACCCAGTTTACAATAAACATTCACTGCATCAATGAGACAAATTTGCTACATTTATACACTGATGAAACCTGTTTAGCAGAGTTTTGCAGTGACAGGTGTGTAAAACACTAAATGATCTTTTCCAGATCATCATACACCAGCACAGCCATTTTGTTTCTTTATGTCATTGAGAATCAGACCACAGAACAAGTTTTATGGTTGGAAGTCATAGAAATTAAATAGATCCCACATCCGCCTTTGAATGGAGCACAGCATTATTCCCAGCAGTTTACTGTTTAGGGTGTAACGTTTTATAAATCAGCACTTGACCAAAACTCTCTTGTTACAATGGACCCAGCTGCACTAGTGATGGATGCCCACTTCAGAATTTTAACTCTGAAGCATAAATTTGTCAAAAGAGGGTCATGAAGACACCAAAAGACTTCACAGGTGACTGATGTGCCAATGAATCACACATCCGCTAATGCAAAAAGAGCACGAGTTACATTACTTACAGTCAGTGGCAGTATAAATCTGCATTCTGCCATGAATATTCATTGTGTAGGCTTTTTTCTTTCTTTGTCTTTTTCATATGAGGGACGTAGTGTGTGATGCCAATCATTTCTGATGCTGGTGTGCTGAAACGTGGTGACACTATGGTCTGTCACAACACCAGATGGATGTATGGTGTATTGAGTAGCCGAGTCAAGACTCCACTGTGTCAAAGTCTGTTTAAAAAGTTCAAATGTGGCCAGACACAGCGCAAATACAATCATTAAAAACGCTTATGAATATTTTAAATTGTAATTACAAAGGTTCTGTGTAGTTCTATTTTTATTGTTGTGAAACTAAATTTGCAGGCTGCATTTTGTGAGAACAATGAGTCATAAGATTGTTTTTTCAGTTAGGTTAGTCCTTTAATAAATGCTCAGCAAAACCTGTACAGAGACATAAACTAAGTCGAAGACTTTTTTTCTGGAGAGGTCTAGGCAATGTCACTTCATGCCTCTTGTAAAGCTAACAAGAGCACGAGGTCATTGCTACAATGGCGGATAGTTGACTTGAAATGTTCCTTTCAACCCCTCACAGACCTGTGCTGCTCTTTGTGCCATGTAAATAATGTACATACAGAAATACTTTTTCTAGGTACTTAACATTTTCCTTTTTGTATATGAATTTTAATAAATGAAATGTTTTCTTTGATCAACCGTGAGAGCGTAGTTATTTTGTCGTGTAGTTTCCTCATCCTACATTTGACGCCTCACTGTCGCTGATTTTCTTTTGTGTTGTTTTACTGCCACCCAGCGGTGACTTACAGTAATAACAGGCTGTTTGTTTTTCTGCATTGTTTGCAGTAGCCTCGTGATCTGTTTCCTGCTAATTTAGGTCCTTTATATTATAATCTACCTCATTTCCATGAATTTTCCAGCCTTTTTAAAACTCCCAGATATTTGAACCAAGTAAAGTTTGCTCTAATTCTATTACATGCTTTTCTGAACCTAGATCTGTTAGAGCCATAAATTATCTTATCAATTTCCTTTTTATTCTTGACATGCTCCTGTTCTGCACCTATCAGACTGCTCTACTAATCTTTGTTAGCAGTTGTGTAGGTCAGTATAAAGCTCAGTTGAGATCAATTGAACAGGTAGAGTGAATGTTGTTGGCAGCTGGTCAGTCTCGTTTCTTTTAATTTGCTATCTGTTCTTCTTTGTGGTAATATACAGTAATATAATTTTCTACTTTGTCTATCACATATATTTTACTATATTTCTCTGCTTTGTTTTTTTTAGCTACCTAAGTCTCTTTAGTGGGTGTCATGAAGTCTGACACATTTCTGGTTTATCTTCATGACCTTTCTGACACTTTAGGTTCTGCTTTATTAAATGTATTTATTATGTGACAGAATATTATGTTTTATTACACACACACACACACACACATATATATATGCTCCATCTGTCTGAAAGTTCTCCAAGCAATCATAATGCAGTGGTATGTGGGACACATCATTAAAAGTAAAAGCATGTAGTTTGGAGTGGGTTCTTTGTCTCAGAGGTTCTTGCAGGGGGTTGGGAATTCAGGGGTAGGAAGCCCACTGAGGAGGGGACACTCGTTCCCAGACCTACACAATAACTCGCACAACAAAAGCATTGTAAGGAGAGTCCGTGTCTTCAACACCAGCCACATGTCTGGCAGACACCTCTACATACACACTGGCTGGCCACTGCGTAAACGCATGCATCCTCTCTGCTTGAGGAACTCTTTGCAGTATGTAACAAAATGGCAAGAGACCATTATCCAACTCTAACAATGAGAAAACAAACTCTTTACCAAAGAACTGAGCTCTAATAACTAGCGGCTTCTGCAAATACTCAAAGTTGAGTTGTTTGAGTTTCCTGTCAAAGATGCTCCACACATTGTATATCAAAAGGTGTTTGTCTTTATCGCCTTTCCTCTCGGTTTATCTGGAGGTTGAGGACAGCAACATCTGTTTTTGGGAGACCTAGATGTAAAAACGACACCTCAACACCCTCATTAGGACAATTTGCAATTCAGATTTGTCAGTCTTAGTGCTTTGCACTCCACCAAAAGGTACATCACCGCCTCCCCCATCATACTCGCATGCTAGTCAATAGGGGACCGACAATGACTTCACGTTAGACCAGACAGCAATGTTTGTGCATTTCTGTATAGAGATTTTCTAAATTATCACTGTATGCAAAAATGCTGTGAAACTGAGTTCAAAAGTTTAGGGCAAGTAAAATATAAGATATGTAATGTAAGATATCATTTCATTTTTTAATAACTTCACATTGGAAATTACACATTACACAGTCTTGAAATTGTTATTTGTACACATATGTACAATTCATAGTACATTTCTAAAATGTAGCTAACATGACTGGTTCAAGTCCAAGTCAAAATTAATTCAAGCTATGCTACAAACAAAAGGCATTGAATTCATAAATAGCAAGCACCTCAAATTATTAAATATGCCTTTGGCATTGAGGAACAAAATTGCAATTCAAATATTACAAAGACAAATCTATCTATATGAAATAAATATGCAGTTTGGTAAACTCCCTTCTGACGGGTGAAAACAGTCAAGTCTTACAGGAATATCTTCTGTCGCAGGAGAATGAAAACAAGGGAATGACATTCACAATGATGTAAAGGTTTAAGGAAATAAGCCAATAACCCATTCTGCTGGTTGTGCAGGGTCGTCCTGTTTAGCAGAGTTTGCACCACTGGGTTGGCATCCAACCACACTGATGCCAAAATTAAGAACATATGTTTCACATCATACGTTTTCACGCACGCACACACATAATAAAATTAAATTGTATTTACATAACATAAAACAGTAACATATGATCCATGAAGCAGCAGCATTTGTGCAGACCTCGGAGCTGGCAACATGGCCAGAAGCTCTTAAGCATTTTCAGTCTGAGATCATTAATGTTTCATTTCTAGCTTCAGAAAATGGATATGAATCCATTCTTTGATGGAAGGCACTTTTGAGTGCTTCAAATACTGCTTTGGGAAACCAAACTTAGGTTCTCTCTCAATTTCACACCTGAAGGTTACAGCATCTCAACCTGGATTCAATACCGCACACAACTCTAAGCCTCTGGATGTGTTGGTCTGGAAGGTCTCTCACATCTCTGGGCTGTGACTGCATTAAATGAAGACTAGCTATGCCAGGTTCTTCTCAAACCCATCAGGCATTTGCAGGTTTCTCAGTGCTTTTAGGAGGGGTCAATATTCCGGCTACAGCCAATGGAGACATCCGGTCCAAGCTGTCCTGCTGCCGATCATGCGCTTCACTCTGAGAAAAAAAAGGATGTGTTAACCAGTTGAATCTCAAATAAACCTGATCGAGGAGACGATGAAAATGAGAACTCACCAGCATGGCCAGATAGTCCACGTGGGTCTGTATGTTGTGTCGAGCTTCTGCCGCCACCTTTTTGAAGTCCTTCAGCTGTGGTCTGGGCCATACACGTACGGCCCGTGCAAACGGGTTCATCCACCACACACAGCTTGATATGCTGTCCCATGTGAGTCCTGGTGGGGAAGAAAAAGAAAATACTTGGAACAAAATCAATAAACTGATGAAACAACTTAAGCACAAAAAGGTCAGGGTTTCTGCAAGCTTTGTGAAGGTTAATTTAAGACTTTTTAAAAAGTAATAAATTAAAGGAATCACAATAATCAAACCTTTTCCTGTACCTTCTGATTGCATTGCAAAAACCATGTTCTTCCTCAGTATTTTTGTTTTGTTTTCCAGCGCAAAAGTCTAAATATTTAACAAATCAAGATACATTGAGAAGCAAAATGACAGAAGATGAGTATTATTTTCTGTAAAACTGATCAAAATTAAGTGAGTTTTACAATTAAAACTAGAACAAATCTGCTGGAGTCAGAAAAGTACACTTGATTCAAAGGGAAAACAAGTTTCCAT